ATTAAACAAATTTGCTGTATATTTTCAAAATATGCTTGTCTTTAGAACTGTATATGTTAACTCATCAAACTTATAAGAAGGAAATAGCGGCACTTTTAGGATTTATTATTGACCACCCCTGGTATGTGTAAATACATAATGACGATTATTATTATATGATTTCTGATGACTTATAGGCCAAGGGGACTGGGTCTATGTTATTTTTTCTTGTAGATGTGTATTGTAGTAGATACATGTCACGATAAAAAAATATTTACTAACATATATACAGTACAAGTACAAATGTTGCTGCAATGCAGCAATTGAGAAGCTCCGCGCAAAAAATGCGCTCATTACAGATACCTTACCAAATTATTCCTACGCACAGGTCATGTTATATTCAGATTAAGGCCTATTGTAGATTTTTTCCAAATGTTTTGTAAACCATTTATTGCAAAATTATACTTATCTTATGCACTGTCCATTTAAAAAGATGGGAAATATATTTAATATAAAAATGCTTTCACTGATGCCTACCCGGTAAGGAAAATAATTCTATTGAATAAAAACAAGACTTACAAGACTTGTAAATGTTATGTTACATGATTGTACTGTGTTCTGTTTTTGTCACTGCTGTAGTCAGTAACACGAGATGATAAAAATATCAAGGTCTTTTTTATTATTATTATAATTGTAACAAATATACAAATAGTAACAAAAGGTACTAATATTATAATAAAGTAATATTACATGCATTTTTTTCATGTCAAATTAAAAAAAAGGTTTCTTTCAATACTGAAATTAAGTAGAATACACTCTGGAATGAAAAATGTGATGAATTTCAAAAAGACAAAATTCAGGATTTTTTTTGTTAGTTAAACACGCGTTACATGATGATACAGTATTCATCAATATAATAGAAGACTGTTACCTGAATTTTAGGCAGTTATGAGAAAATTCACTCACATCATGTTCGTGCGAAGCTATTTGACATTGGTGATATATAAAAAAAAACTATTGTTAATTAATTCATTGAGAGATCAATATATATTTTTTGTTGAATTGCTTTGAAACCATTCATAAAAAAACATTACACTTCATGTTCAAACTGCAGTTTAAAGTTCCTGTTGTTATCATGATATCTATCTATAGCCTATGCCTGTTAGTGCTTCGAAATTTTAAGGGTATGACTGGTGACATGTCCGGGGGGTCCGTACTCGACAGCGAAAGCTGCATTTTGTGGCCTTTCAACCGGATGGACCCTCATTAAGCATAGGTTATAGATCGACTTCGATCTGCAGTTTGAACATAAGGTGTAATGTTTTTATTTGTTTGGGTCGTCAGACCAAACAAATAATGGTAGCGAAATTTCAGAGCCTAATGCTGTTAATTGCAATTGCCTAAAGTAGTCCACTTTTTTGAAGCGGTTACTTCCCTTTATATGCACACTAACGTCGAAAAATTCAGGGGAGATCAATGCGTAAAGATTGTCAAATGGCAGGCGCATTAGTTTTCAAGCAAAGTAGTTCCCGAATGGATGAAGATTTATAATAATGTTTCATTCTTTATAGATATACACGCTTACAGTAAGCTTCATGATTATTGTTTGCACGCTCGCTTATGGAACGAGAGGTCTGAAGTTCGAATCCCAGTTGAGGCAACTCATTTTTTTTATCATTTTTTAAGTCAAATAAACATTGAATTGACTATCAGTGTTGCAATTAGTCTTATAGCCAATTTACTACAGTTAAAACACTTGAAAGCATTGGTGGCACTATACAAAAACAAATTGGTTTATCAAACCGAGCCTGCAACATTTTCAATTTTGCCGTGTTGGGCTTTCTTTAGGGATTCTGTATTTATCTATTTTATAATCTTACAACCTTCACCTTTCTGACATTCTGAGACTCAAACAATTCAGCGCCTTCTGTGCTTTGATTTATGAATGGTTTTAGAGCAATTCAACAAAAAAGTATATTGATCTCCCGATAAATCAATTAACAATAGTTTTTTATATCACCACGTGAAAAAGCCTTTATATCTTTGACTCGCACGAACATAATGTTAGTGAATTTCCGTATACCTGCCTAGAATTCAGGTAACAGTCTTCTATTATATTGATGAATACTGTATCACCATGTTACGCGTGTATAACAAAAAAAATCCTGAATTTGGTCTTTTTGAAATTCATCCCTTTTTTCATTACAGTATTGAAAGAAAACTTTTATTTTAATTTGACATTAAAGAAATGCATGTAATATTACTTTATTATAATATTAGTACCTTTTGTTACTATTTGTAACATCAAACCATGTCATAAACACGTGTTGAGTCTGAAACAAGTAGTTTACAGTTCAACAGTATGTAAGAAATGGCTTGGCTTGAATATCATGTTTATTTCATGTTGCTTATAATTGACTTTATCTAATATATAATTCATTATAAACATATACAGAAGTTGATGTTAATATCATTGACAGAAAATACTTTTTAAGAGTCAAATTATAACATTTGTATAACAACATTTCAACCGCAGAGAAAAAAGATATAAATGTAAAATGTCTTCCAGTTATTTATCAAAAATGACGATAAATACTGGTGATTAATGAAAACTATATGATATGAATACACCTGACAATATGCTTATACAAATATATCAAAAATGTAGGGGATTTATTTGTTTGCTTCAATCAAATATTTTCTATCTTGCACATATATAAAAATGCATTTTTATGTACATACCTATTAAACCTTTGAAATATGGCTAAGTAATGCTGTTTTTACGTTGAAGAGAATAGAAGCCTAAACATGTTTTTACAATTACATTAAGGCTATGTAGCAAATATCAATATTTTAAGATATCAAATTTGAGCATAATATATCTTTTAGTTCTTTCATTTGTCAAAATGTTCATATGAAAAGATTACAATTTGTACTGATTATAAATATTTGTTTTCATAAACATGAAACATTCAGCTGCTAAATGATACATTCAAACAAAGCCTACATGAACACAAGGTTCGCTTTCTTTGCTGTAATCAATTTTAATCAGCTTTTGTTTACTCTTTATATACTAACATAAACTAATATTAACAATTTGCAAACTAAAACGTTGTATGAATGATATTCTTTAAAACATAGAGACACAGCATTGATAAATCGACCATTCTTGACTTATTTCACAAAACACTACTAAGAGTCTAAAATGAACTGAAGCAGTTTACATCAAAACGTTTACGTTTAACGTCAGCTTATAATAATTGGATTTTACACTCATCAATGTTAATTGATTAATTTATAATTCAGTAATTGACAAGTACTCCACTGAATGTGTTCATCCTGTATTGGTTTTGATATAGCTGGTGGACAGAACCTGATGATGTTGATTTGACCCAAACTTTTGATCCTGATTTTAATCTTATTATTGCACCAAACGTATTACAGCCATGATTAGCATCACCATAGTTAGCATCTGCTGCTATAACGTTACCTTCCATCACAAGACCCAGATATGAATATTTATTTTGAAGAGCACATATATGAACAGAAAACTGGTACAGTCCTCCAACAGGTGCTGTGAACAAGCCCGTGGACGTGCCGTAACCTGTTCCCTCGTTAGTGATTGTCTTTTCAAATATAAGAATCTCATTTGCAGTATCAAGAACCAGGTCTTTCAAGTGATGTGCATAGAAAGCGATCGGATGTTGTTCAAGTTTTCCTAAGTATAGAAATAATAGTTTTGTATTTTATATTGTAACACATATTGATATTTTGAAAACAAGTTATTTCGGGTTTTCATATGTCATTGTCCCTGAAAAATGTCAATTTATAGTGCACAAGGATATTTAGATTTCACGCTTTAATTACTTATCTGAATATAGGTGTTTATATATTTAAACTGTAAAATAAATTTCAACGATATCTAAATAAGGGACATACGTAAATAACAAAAACAAGCCATATATTCGTTTCGGACAATATCTGTAGTAATTAAATCATGGAATACTTGAAAATTGAATGTGACTTGAAAATTGAATGTACAAATTCTAATGAGAGCTACAAATTTACACATAGAGCAACATTTCAGATAATTCTAGTTTGCTGAATATATTACTGACAAAGTGATTGATTAAATGAATGCATCAGTCAAATTAGCAACAATTTAATTTGTTATGCTAAGTTGTAGACGGATTTTAAATGAATTCCCAATTTTCCATCCCACACAGGTTTAAAAAATTTAATTTAAATGACTTGAAAAAAAATTTAAAGATACATTTACCTTAAATTTTGGTTTAAGTTTCCTTTTTTTTGCTTTCCAATGTCACTTGGGGAGGTTGTTTTTTGTTTCTTCAAAAGCTTCTTAAACCCGTTTTTCCTGAAATAATTATTAAAGTTCTTTTTACTTATCATTACCAAAATTTTAAAGGGTTAAATTCATAAAAAAACCCTTTTTTTTAAAAAAAATAATTTTTTTTAAAGTTCGACAAAAAAAGGGTTAAATGTCATATTACTTTTTTAGACTTTTTAGGCGAAACGTCACTATTTGAAAAACAATGGTTTTTTAAAATTTGGCAAAAAATTTTTGCAAAAGTAATTTTTAAATTTTTATAAAAACTTTTAACTTGTTATATCTACATTGTTTTTACTGCATTCAAAAAATCAATACCCACTATTAAAATACATTGATGAAGACCTATATGACTAACAATTGAACAACAATGAAAGATAAAGAAAATGCTAAATATATATTACAATTTATTGCATACTTTATCAGTACCGTTTCATGATAAATATTTATGTTTAAGAAATGAATATTTGATGTAAAACAACGTTTATATTATACCTTCTCTCGTTTTTATTTCATCGCCGCTCTTTAACATTACGTCCGTCATGTTTTCTCTCATATCTGCAAACATGTCCGTAAAATCTGAAACTGTGTGTTTAATGTCACCTAATGTACTGATGACATTATCCTCAGTTTTCTTAATTTCATTTACCATTGTTTCTACCTTTATTTCAGTTCTTATCATTTTCTCTAAAAGCTGTTCTTCGTATGCAAATTTAGAGCAAACAGGCTCTCTTGCCTCAGAAAAATTATAACTATATATTCCAACGACAATAACAAATAAAAAAAGCAGTGAGAACCTCATTTTCATGAGGACTGTTGAAAAATAGAGTTTGAGAAAGTCTGTGAATCATACTCGCTGAGAGAAACAATTGTATTTATACAAGGGAATCTACGTTGTTACTTGAGTATGAGGCCCGTAATATACATGTATTTTTAGTATAGTGGTTTAGCAGAAATGCACTGAAATACGGTTTTGAAGGATATCCCTTAGAAACAGTTTGAGGGTAACAGACTGAATTTTTCTACATAAATCGCTCCTCCCAAATGAGAATTAAGTGACAGCATTATTAGAAACAAATCAGCATGTTTCTAAGGGATATCCTTCGATACCGTATTTCAATACATACAGCTCATGCCAAGATCTTATAGAATAATCTATTGTAATAAAGAAAGTGATGTGTTGTCCTTTAATACCGACTGTTTCATCATACGTGAATTTGAAATAATTATTCTTTAGTATTGTCACAAAAGTCATGTAAAGGTGATATTTCTCTAGAAAAAAAGATGAAAAATGATAGACTCGCTTTGATCAAGACACTGATAGGTACAACCACTCATGACATCCGCTGGGACCTGCTAAAGCAGTATTCGTTTTGCCAAACCATTGAGTATTATAATCAATTATCCTGAATGTCCATACAATAACAATGCGATCAATTGTATTATGTAAGACTAAGGCAGTTGCCCATCAAGTTAACGGAAGATTGGCCATTTAAACAGATACTAGCTTGCCAAGAGCTACCAACAAAGATATTTGAAGTATCCGTAATATTTAAACACGGTTACTTAACACAAACTGTTGATATAATAACTACCTTATTAGAAACGATTAATTGTTATCTTTAAACTTCGATTAAAGCCGTTGCTATCAATAGATAGAAATAACTAATAAGAAATATCTAATAATATAGAAAGAGAGAGAAAAATAGATGAAACTTTAACTAAAACAAAATAATAATAAAATAGAGAAAATAAGAATCCCTAAAGAAAGCCCAACACAGTAAAATTGCAAATGTTGCAGGCTCGGTTTGATTGAACATGTTCATGGACGATACTGTAAAGTGCAAACTACCGTCCACGCCCATAAGCACCGGCTTAAGCAGAATTCAACATTTAACATGAACTGGTACAATTTTGAATTTTGAAACATCCGCATATGTATTCATATGGCGATTATAACGTTACATTCCGTTAACAACACTAAAGGCTGACTGAAATATTTGATTTCAAATGTTTTAAGATAATCATAAATTTAGTAACGAACAAGAATATCATGAGAATTGCTAAAACCATAGGTAACTAAACTAAGTTGTGACTTGAAAACATTAACAATCCCTCCTACCGAACCTAATTCTATAAAGAAAAAATAGACATACATATTATTATTGAGAGGATAACATTATAATTCTTATCTTATTATTTATTGTTTTATATTAAGCATTTGGGCGTATATTTTATGAAACTATCTTTACATCGGACACGTAGGTGATAAATTTGCTCGCATTTCATGCAAATCGTGATGAAAAAATATAACAACAAGGGGGTTGGGCTGAACCCAACCCCCCCTGCAATTTTTTAAAAATTGATAAGAAACCAAAAAAAGGAAAAATTTATTTATTCCCAAATACATTTCCGGGAAATTTAAAAGGTATTTTTTTCCCGGATGAATTGATATTTAAAAAATAATGGAAAACCCCTTTTTTTATTTTGAAATTTTGAAAATTTGGGGGGTAGGCATTTATTTTCAAGATATTTTTACATTAAGTTCAGGCACAAGGGGAAACTTTGTTCAAAATTTCAATTTTAACATTTTTTTAAATTTTTCCCCCAAAAGACACAGAAGATAAAACTAATGTCCCCCATTTTTTGAAAAAAATTTTTCAGGGGAAAATTTATTTAAAATTTTTTAAATTTAAAATTTTCATATGTAATGCAATGAAAACACAACTATGTGTGAAAAAAAAACACAGAACAACTTTCATATATCATTTCGTTTTCAAAAATGTTTAACAAGTAATGCTAGTAGGAAAAATTATAGTATTGAATAATTGGACATCGTTGCATTTGGACCTTATGAATTCTGAAAACAAAAACATACTTAGGCATATACGTCTGTAAAGCATTTATCATAAGAAATAAGGTAGTATGACGAAAGTTTGTGAGAGTATCCTTACTGTCCATTCATTTAAAGGTCCTACATTAGATCAAGACTTTAGTTTTGCAGTTTGAGGAAACATTCTACATTTAATAACGCAATGATTCATGTCCGAACTATTTCCTTTTGTTTTACTACGATTAAGATGAATGTGTTTTTGTTGTTTTTGTTTTTATTTTTTGTGTGTTTCTTTCTTTCTTTTCTCGTTTCAATATCCTTAATATATTGTCCTATCTGTTTGGTAAAGTGAGAAGTCGTGTTAGAATGTTAATAGATAGATAATGATAGAAAATTACAAATTATACTATTAATTACATATTGCTTTAATTTAAAATCAACAGTTTATAGTGTTATTTGAAACATAAGATTTACACTTTTATCAACCATGAACTTGAAATATAAGCTAGTTTATGCTTCAATTTCAACTTTGATTAAGACTGCTGTGAACTATGGATCATAAAAAATTACAAGCTCGTTATCACAGGGATTTCAAGAATAATGTTATGAAGAAACAGGTCGTTATAAAGCTTTAGTTTTGTAACTTTCTCATTCAAAGCATCGATAAACAAATGCTATCAACACTACTGTGCTGTTTCTGTTTATATTTTTCTATATGCATGGACATTATTGGCCGTGTTGCACAGGTGCAAACCCGGAATATAGTATAGTGAAAGGAGGGTTAAGGGCAGGGAAAATGTTTCGAAACAGCAACTACTTTCACAGCCTCTTGATATTTGGTATACACCATTCACACGTGGTCCAATACCGTGGGATTTGATTTCAGGTATGTCGCTCATCCACTTCCTGTTTGCCGACTTGGTGAAATTTTCGACATTAATGGTCAATGGTAAGAAATTTTCGTAACATATTTTTCAGCCACTACTTATCACAGCCTATGGATTTTGGTATACAGCAATAATACGTGGTTTCATACGTGAAATTCGATATTAGTTCTGTCGCTTACCTACTCCTTGTTTACCGACTTAGTTAAATTTACGACATTTTCTTAACAGTTTTCTCAACAACTACGTATCACAGCCTCTTAATATTTTGTAATACAGCATTGACACGTGATCCCATACCGTGGGATCCTTGATTTGATTTCAGGTCTGTCAATCATCCACATCCTGTTTACCGACTTAGTTAAATTTTCGATATCAATGGTCAATGGAAGAATTTTTTAAGAACATCTTTGGTATACAAACGCAACCCGGCATTTTCTGTCCTTGACCTATTTCCTTACCGCTTAGCATAATGTAAAGCGACATACTGAAGTTTTACCATTGACCACTTTTCAATGTCTGAGGTAAACATTAATTTAAATGTATTCTGTGTTCATCGTTGGGTAAAATAGTTTTATTGCAGAAATTTATTGAAATCTATAAAAGTCTAACTGAATGTCTTATTTAAAATAAAATAAGATACAAACTTTGTTTGAGAATCTGCGTCAAGTTAAGATGGTCCCTTCTGCCTTCATAGCATAACATATCTACTTTGTGTGAAGTAAAACATGTTATTTAAAGTTATTTTACATTTACAAAAAGACCGTGTAATTATCAATATTTTCTAACATCAAATCTGAGCAAAGTATATCTTTAAGCTTATGGGTAATGTTGTAAACAAAAGTTTTATTGGAATGTATAGTAAATAATTCTAACACGATCAGCATTTTTCCTTCTGAACACAAAATGTGTATGAAATATGCAATAAAATCACTGTTCATCTCTATGGTGGCTGATTTGTGCCATTCGTGTTTTCGCCCGCGCCCCCGCCATTTTTAATTTGTTAATTCTGGCTTGGCGGGGTCGCGGGACGAAAACACGCTAATTAGCGGGGGCGCAGGGCGAAGTTTTATTTTATTAAACGCCGCCCCGCCGTTTTATTTCTTAATTCTCGCTCCGCGCCCTCGCGGGACGAAGTTTTATTTGTTAAACTTCGTCGCGCTCCCCCGCTTATTAGCGTGTTTTCGCTCGGCGACCCCGCCATTTAAACTTGTTATTTCTCGACTTTTCGCTTGGCGGGGTCGCGGGACGAAAACACGCTAATTAGCGGGGGCGCAGGGCGAAGTTTTATTTCATCTAACTTCGCCCCGCGCCCCCGTCGTTTTATTTCTTAATTCTCGCTCCGCGCCCTCGCGGGGCGAAGTTTTATTTATTAAACTTCGCCGCGCACACCCGCTTATTAGCGTGTTTTCGCTCCGCGATCCCGCCATTTTAACTTGTTAATTCTTGACTTTTCGCTTGGCGGGGTCGCGGGACAAAAACACAAATGGCACAAATCAGCCACCATAATATTTAGACATGTCACTTAAATATTAATGATACGAATCGCTGAAAATAAATACGGAACATCAGGTACATTTAGCTGATACCAGGTACGGCATTATTAAAAGGTCTTTTCCGTGCTTCTAAAGCGTTCGCCATATATTTAAATTTAATTGTTTTTGTCTCAAAGAAAACAAAGAACCACAAAAGGTGTTAATGTCGACACAAAGTCTTGAATTCTTATAATTTAGTTTGATATTAGTAACGGTAATTAAAAAATGTTCTCAAAATATATGACAGATAATTTTTATTAAGGTCATATATTACCAAACTTTTTTGAACTAAAAGACTGTATACTGCAACGGAAAAACATATGCAATACTGAGTGGTGATAACGATATTTTTATCACGACTTTTTTGTAAATTTCTAAACGTCACTTGACGTCACTAAGT